GAAAATTCTTAGTGTCAGAAAAATGTGCTGAGCCCATTTAAGTGAGTCTTCTATGGGTTTGCCTATTTTGTCTGACTTTGGCTGTCTTATATATGACCATTACCATCACCATTTTAGTAAAGGGCAAAAGTTCAGTGATTTAGAACCTATGGAATTCAGGGACTAAGTTACTCTGGCCACTGAGAGATGGGAATTTTCAAATTGGTGGATCTTTCATGTCATGTGAAGAGCCTTTTGCTTTCTTGTTCACTCAGTAATCGAAGGTGTCTTGTTTCCTTCAGCCCTGAATCTTTATCAGTGAGTAAAATTTCAGAGGTAATTAAGTACTTTAACTTGTACTTTTTCTCTTTTGGAAAAGGACCACACTCTTACTCTGGCTCTGCTGGGGCAGTTACTGGCACCCATGATGCTGCTCGGGATCTGAGAGAGAAGCGTGCTAGAAGGTACTTAGGGTTGTACTGGGCCACGTTTGTGCTTGATGTCTACTCTCACTCCTGGTATTTTTGAATCATGTGAGCATATAGGCTTTTTAAAGTCTGTGTTGTTAATATAGTTCTGTTTTAGACAATGATATAGTTACTGGACTTACTGGCCAGCACATTAGTAGTAGTAGTAGTAGCTACCATATTGCTGTTTATTTCCAATAGAGAAGGTTGAAAATTCAAGGACAGTGGTCAGGGGTCCTTGCTCAACCAATGGCAATGTAAGGCCAACCTTGTTGATGTACAAAAAATAAATAGAAATGGTATTATACCAACTGTTAAAACAGAAGTTGAACTAAGCAGTACCATTCTGTAACTAATAGGTATATTTACAGATGCTTCTCATATACTTAAAGGATTCATAAAAATGCCATATTTTAAAACATGTACCCCTTTATTTAACCTTGTTTAACTGGTAAGAAATACTTGCTGAAGTTTGATTTGTTCTTTTTTTGAAAATTGGATTTGATTGAGGAAAGTTAACATTTTAGTAAGGAGAACATTTTGCCCATTTTTAATACAGTTCCAGTAAATTTAATTATAGGAAAGATGTTAGCAACATTTAACAAAGATAATCTTTCTCCTTGAAAATCTTAACTACTTGCCCATTATACAAACCTACCTACTTATGATGGGGAAGTTAATTCTATTTTGATAAGTGATTTTTTTGTATTTCCCTCTTTCCCAGCCATGATGCAGACATGCCTGGAAATTCTGGAGCCCCTGAGAACCTGACATTCAAAGAGCGCCAGCGCCTCTTTTCACAAGGTCAAGATGTGTCTGATAAAGTGAAAGCTTCTCGTAAATTAACAGAACTGGAGAACGAACTAAACACAAAGTGAGGACAGTCCAAGGCCACCTCGTGTTTGCCCAGGTTCCCTCAGCAGTGGGTGTGCAGGTGTTAGCCTGAAGAGAAGGGAGGTTATATTTCTAAGTGATTTCTAATTCCTGCTTCAAAAATTATTGCCATTTAGAGATGTTGTGGTTCCAAGAATTTTTATTTTACTTACCAAGAAATTGGCATTTGTATGATATGAAATCTGATTGTGAATGACCTGACTCATTTGAGCATATCATTTTTTTTTAGTTTCTTCTTGGAGTCTTAGCCCAGAGGGGCAGAAAGGAGGACAGAAGAGGTAATAGTGCCCTTCCCCTGTTTTCTCCTGTAATCCTGACGAGGATTACAGACTAAGTAGTTCTGTTTCTGTTCTTTCTCAAAAGCTTCACTTTGGCTACCAGGCAGAGTAGTTGAACCAACCAGACCACTGTGCTCACTTGTAGCCACAGCCCTGTTTGCAGGAGAGAGAGCATGGGAGGTTGCTCCTCCTGTACCACAAGGGTTTCTGCTCCAGGGTACTGGCCACGGTGGTGCACAGCCCATGACAGTGAGCCCTCCTGATCAGTTTGAAATGTGTGATTACATTAACTATTCAGTTTTATAAGTTCTCAAAGAAGAAAATCTAGAGAATTTAATCTTAGAGGGTTTTATTTTTTATATATACTGGGTTATTGTTAGACTAACAAATCATTGGTGAACTTGAAAATGACAGTTATATTAGAAAGTTGACTAATATTTTAGATACTCCAAGGGATCAATAAGGAGATCTCTTTAGCTGAACAGTGTTCATGTGACCAGCATCAGAAATAGCAGAGAAGAATGGGAGATTCATAGGTAACATTCAAGCACAACTGTCACTCAGAAATTTTAAATTTATAAAAGCAATTTACATCAATGTTCTGTCAGGAAAGGAATTCAGTTATTATTGCCATCTGTAACTTAAATATTGCAGAATAACTCATGACATTGTACACTATTTTTTTACAATATATTAGAGTTATTTAATTTTAACTTGTGAATTATGAGTTGCCACTGTCATTTCTGTGGGTATGTGGCTAATGTTGGGGGGACAAACCTCAGTTTGCTTATATTATATGATATTAAAATGGTAAATTACCTTTTGATTTCAAGCACATCTCCTGTTTGACAAAGACTTGATAGGATCCAGACGATCTTTCTGTATCTATTCTCTTACAAATGTGTATGTCAGGAAAATGTGCACACTTTCAAATGAAGAATAGAGACATTCATTGCACTAGAAACCACTTTTAATATGAGTTGTATGATAAATCGTTGAACGTGCAAGTGTAAATATTTTTTATGTCTGTCACGGTTCTTATTTGAAAGTGTGCTTTTACTGTTTCCTCTGTAAGAGAGTCAAATGGTCCTGAGAGTTGATGAAGGATTTGCACACTTGCCCCAGAAAAAGCAAGCTCCTCCTGGTTTTTCAAGAGCACTGGTGGCCTTACGGTGGTGAGTTTACACTTTGCCTAGAGAAGAAGACGCAGATGATCAATGTGTTCAGATGTGGAGAGGAAAACACACATACATACATGCAGATTCTGTGTGGTTGGTTATAAAACCTGTGAGGAAGCAGATTTGGCCATCCTTGGACAATGAGGTCAAATGTGAATATATGTAAAAGTGCTTTTCATAATGTGCATTAATTACTATGGGAAAAACTTCCAAACTGCTGTAGTTTTCCATTTCTACTGTATTTCGGTTGCAGCCTATTTTTAATAAACTTTGTATGTATTTAAGTGTATTTACTATTGTTTTAAAAATGCTGACAAAGTTTATATTTGTAATATCAACCTTCCTCTCCCTTGTTTCCATCTGTCCACCCATTCATTAAACAATGCTGGGTATCACTCCGTGTTGGGCAGTGTTTTCTATTTGTTGGGGGTGTTTGCTTGATGACAGCTGACTGAAGCTCAGGAGTGATTTTCACACTGTTGCCATACAAGAGCTCAACTGCCTAGGCATTTGGGATTTCTGCTTTGCACTTAAGTATCCAGGTGGCACAGGGAATATTTTTCAGTTACACTGCCTGTCCTGGCCATTTTGAAATTCCTAAATGTACATAGTAATAAATGGTACCAATTAGGTATCATGGTGATGTATATTTTCAGCAGTACCCACCTAGGACAGCTGGTGTGATGGGATGTGTTTGATTACAAAACTACAAATGCAGTGATGAGGAAACAGTAGCTCCTGTTGGCCACAAGCAAGTACCAGGGCCAGGCCTGTAGAGATGAACCAGAAGAGGCAGTCCCACCCTCATGTCAGTGCAACATCTGAGGGGTGCTTCATTGGACCTCTGCCTGTCTAGCTAACTTTTACTCATAGCTGTGAGTATCCTAGGAGTACTAGGATGGAACAGTGTTGTGGAACTTCAGAGGACTTTCCTGGGGACAGAGAGGAATGGGGAATTGGTCATAGGATACAGTTTCAGATAGGAATAAATTCTGAGGTCTCTTGTACAGCAAGGTAATAATAGTAATATACTGTAAAGTAAAAAAGGAATTTTCATGAAGGAAATAGTGTTTGAGGGCTAGAGGAACTTGCGGAGTTCTTTCTGGTAGAACTAGATACTTCATATATTGGAATTACGATATTTACTTTTACTATATTTTAATGTGTAAAAATGTACATAGGGTTTGAGAAGGAAGAAACTTAGAGACAGAATTCATGCCATTCCCGCTCCATCTCACAGCCTGTGTTTCTGTGGCTGTTACAGAAATAATGATTCTGACCTAGTGGTGCCCTGATGTCTGGACCACATGAAATAGCAAATCCCTTGGTGATTTTCTGGTGCGCCATGAGATAAAAATTTCCTCTGTGCTTTGCTGGAATGAAAACTGATTCCAAAGATTGAGTTATACATTTAGGATAGCATTAAAGTGAATTTATTACTTATTTAACATGTTTAAGGTGCCTACTCTGGGCACATGGTTACTCGGTATCCCAAAGCAGTCCTGGAGTTAATTCTTAAGTAGGAACACATAAAAACATGCTTCTTGTGTAAGTATGTAGTAACTTCATTGTGGAAGAACAAGATATTTAGGGCATTGTAGGAGTTATCAGAAGGACATATATCATACTATGGAAATGGAAAAATGACAAAAGGCCTGGGGGCCAGAGCCTCAAGAATCAGGGCAGGTGCCAGGAAAACAGTCTGGTGTGCAAATGCAGTGTGTGTGTGTTGTTCTTTTAAAAGGTGTTCCTAGATTGGTAAACTGCCTTGAGTGGGCTAGAACTCCACGCAGCCTCCTAGAGTGTTAGGATTGTAGGCCCAGTGGAAGGGCTTTTAAAGGAATGAAAGAGATCGGTGTGTATACCTCGTGCAGTAGGGGCGGGACCAGGTGGCATGATACCCTCCCCATTTGACAGACTTGTAGGCCCTTTTTTTTTTTTTGTACCGGGGATCGAACTGCTGTCCTTGTTGTTGCAAGGCAGGCTGCGGAACCAGCGAGCTAAATCCCCGGCCCTGTAGGCCCTTCTGAGGAAGGGTGAGAGCCAGAATAGCAAATTCCTCCTTGGCCTCAAGCCCTTAACCCCAGGCTCTCCTCCCTTGCTCTTTCTCCACTGCTCCACCCCGCCCCCATGTTTCTACCTCATTCTGACCCCACCATCTCGCCCCGCCCTCACATTTATTCCTGGCTCCGCCCCCAGTTGCCATGGCTTGCTATGAGATGAGGCCCCCTAGCGGAGGCGAGTTCAACAATGGTGAAGCCCGCGGCCCCATAGGGCAAGGCTTCTCCAAGCGGCGAGCCCTCCAGCTACAGCGTCAATCCCGGGTGAGTCCAGAGCTGTTGGTGAGGGACCTACCCAACTCCAGGAATTTGGGGGTGTGGGAAAATTTAGGTGGGCTTGGAAGTTACACGGAATTGTCAACAGCACCCCAAGCTGCTTGGGGGCAGGGCCCAATCGAGACCCACCTTTCCTTTAAGTCCCTCACTAAGGAGGGAGAGGTGGTCGGCTGTTTCACATCTCACCCACCGCCTCCCTTGTCCTCCCACCTGGGGCTTCCCACTCCGTTTTGTTGAGTACCTGGGAATACATGGTTGAGAAACAACAGTTATAATCCTAGTCGTCCTCTTTTAATATTCAGTTGAATGCAAACATCACTAAAACACAAAATGAATGTAAATATAATAATGTTAGGCTGCAGAAAGGCCCTCGGTTTTACAAGTGTCTATAATCCAGCCTGCAAGCCCAGGATTATTTCCTGGGCCATGATGGCTGAACTTGGTGGTAGAGAAGTTACTGTGGCAGTGGGGTTGAGGTATGGGGAAGTGCTCCTGGAGAGAGGGTGACAAGTGCGGCCAGGGCATCATAGAGGTTGAGAGTTCAACAGGGCTAACCAGGACCCTGCAGGACTTTGATCATGAAGCTAAGGAGATACTCTTGAAAAGGTCTGAAGTGGAGTAGAAGATGTGATCAGATTCATATTTCAGATGTGCCATTTTGTTGGAGGTAGTGTTTAAGGGCAGGGGGACCATGGAGGGCTGTGTGAGAAGGCCTTTGCCAGAGAAAACATCCAGGGTGGAATGTGAGAAGCTATGTGCACCTGCTGCTCAGCAAAGCAAGCAAAACTGGTGAAAACCATAGCAAGCAACCATGTAAGGCCTCTGGCAGTTGGCCTAAAGGCATTTATTGAAGGAAGAAACAAATTCTAGACAATTCCTTCATAGCAAAACCAGGAAGTCTCTGTCTCCACTCCACCTCAGCCTCACAGAGGTGTGGTCAAGAGTATGGGGCACCTTCTCCCTGGTTCCTAACTTACAGCAACTATGTCATTTGGCAGCAGACCTCAGCCTTTCACATCCTTCCAGCAGAGTCAGGTGAGCCTGGGGCTTTCTTCCACCTAGTCCCCACTGGAGTCCAGTTGCTTACCCAAGCTCATTTGTAGGGCCCAAGCTTCACAATAAGAATAGCAAGCAAAAAGCCCAGAGGCTAGGCCCTCCTTGCTCAAAGGCTTCCCAGGAAAATTAAAGGTCCTTAGGATAGGCTGGAGCTCTCTTGCAGGGCTGGCTGGATTCAGAAGAGTTGAGGGCATCAGTCTAAAGACACTACATAAGAGCCATGAACTAGTCTGCTAGGGCTGCCATGGTAGAGAGGCACAGATGGGGACGCTGCAACAGTGGAGTTTATTTTTCACAGTTCTGTAGGCTGGAACCTGAGGTGGAAACTGGCCAGGTTAGTTTCCAAGTCATCTGTCTTATAGATAGCTACCTTTACAATGTGTGCTCACATACTCTTCCATGTATATGCTCTTCATTGTCTCTGTGTATAAATATCCTCTTCTTAAAGGCAAACCAGTCAAATTCAGTAGGATCCACCCTCATGGTCTTCTCTGAAATTTATTACCTTATTAAAGACCTGTCTTCAGATATACTCAGCTTCTGAGATACTGGAGTCAGGACTTGAGCATTATAATTATAGAACAACACAGAATGGATCACAAGCCATCCAGAAGAGCTCTTTCAGGGTTAGAACACAGCTCAGAAACTGACCTCAAGAACTGGCCCTGCCCAGTTTAATTAGACCATATACTGGAGAAATTTAGGCCACTGTCAAAACAATAGAGCAGTCAGCCAGTAATGAGAAAAGAGTAACTGGTGGATATGATAGCATGTGAGGCAGAAAGGATCAGAAAACAAAATAGGCAAAAGCCTGACTAAAGCCACCACAGCCCAAGACAGCTTTGTGCATGTTCAAATCTTCATCCACCAAGGGGCCACACTGTAGGTTTCATACCACAGAGCAGATGGGTTTCACTGAGATAGTCCAGCTAGGCCTGCTGAGCACATTCATTGGCTGGCAGACAACATAGAGAACCAGCTGCAAAGATTGGGTAGAATAGTCAGAATCTGAAATTCCCGAAATTGTCCAGTACCAAACATCTACAGGATAGGCAAACAGGGAAATGAGACATGAGAAGAAAACGGACATCAGAAATTGTCCATGAGAAGCCAGATTTGGGCCAACGTTCAAAACATTCATTAATATGCATGCAGTACTAAAGAAAGCTGTGCTGATGTAATCAATAAAGAGCTCAACATATCTCATCAAATAAAAAGTCACTAACAACTGCTGTGGTTTGAGTATGTCCCCAAAGTACATACCTACCTTGGCAAGCTTGTTCCCCAGAACCTTACAAAGGGTAGCCTCACGGGAGGTCACTAAGGCACTGTCCTTGGAAGAACTTGATGTACAGTAGTTCTTCAGAGAGGTTTGCAATAAAAGAAAGACTGACCTCCCCTCACTTGGGTTTCCTGCTCCTTATGAAATCACTCCCTCAAGGAGCTCCTAAAGTGGAATAAATATAGAGACTTGCACACACACACACACACACACACACACACACACATTAAAAATGTATGAAGACAGAGCAAGCAGAGAAAAATAGCTTGTCACCAACATGCAGGAGAACCTCCCAAAAGGTGTGGCTGACCTCATCAGAAATGATTGAGGACAGTGAGAAAGACATATTCAGTACTGAATGAAAAAAAACAACAGAATCTTACATTTAGCAAAACTTTCAAAATTTAACCAAAATGAAAGCATTCTCAGAAATACAAAATTTGTTGCTACTAGTTAGCCCTTCCAAGAAAATAGTTAAGAGCATCAGTGAAGGTAATTATGCATTTGTAAAAAAAATATAAATAAATATTTCATCTTTCCTCTCAACTTATTTTAACAAAAATTGTATACCACTATATGCATATAATTATATGGTTAGACCTATAACAAACAGAAATGTAATATCTTTGACTAAAAGAAGAGCACAGAGGAAATGATGGGACCAGAGAGTTTCATGAGGTCAGGAGATGAAACCATGTGGTAACTTGAATCCACAGGACAAATGAAGGAAAATGAAAATAATGAAAAGGTAAATAAAACAAATTCCATAAATATATACTTGCTGTTCTTTCTTTTCTCAGCTTCCTTGGTAAATTGTGTAAAGTGAAAATTATAACAGTATATTGTTGCCTTTCTGATACAGATTATATGCAACAATAGTAACAAAGGGGAAGAAAGAATACAGCTATTTAGAAATAATGTTCCTACAGTACACTGGAGTTATTGCTATGAATATGAAGTAGATTCTGTATACAGTCAACCCTAGAACAAACACTTAAGAGAATACCTAATAAAAATTAGTGAAAAGGATCATCAAAATGGTGAAAATATAATACTAGAAAATATCCATTCAGTGCAAAGTAATGAAAGAGAAACAGAATAGAAGAGACACAGGACCTACAGAATACAAAAAAGTATAGTGGCATACTTTTTATGATTTCATGGCTTAGTTACTTTTCTCGCTGATACAAAATACCTAGCACCTAAAGTTAAAGGAGGAGGAAAGGTTTATCGTATCACACAGTTAGTAGAGGTTTCAGTTCACAACTGGCAGGCTCCAAGGCAAGGTGGCATGGTAGAGGGCCATTGCAGAGGAGAAACAGTTCATGGCTAGCAGAAGGCAGCAAAGCAGCAGCAGCCTGCCTTCTTCCTGTCCTTTTACATCTACCCAGGCTACCTGTAGGATTTTGCCCTTGGCTTCTTCAATAAATAACAATCTCATCTAAGGGCTATGTCTTCATTGACCTAAGAACCTCCCATTAGGCCCACTCTTAAAGGTCCCACAGCTTTTTAACAACCCACACTGAGGACCGAGTCTCAAACACACTTAAGATCTTGGGGGATACACTGAAATCATACCCAAACCATAGTACCCACATAAATCTAATTACATCTGGAATATCAAATGTAAACCAAGCAATCCAGTCAAAAGAAAGGTTGTCCAACTATAAAAAGCAAGATCCAATTATATGCTATCTGCAGGAATCACCTTTTCAATTTAAAGATACAAAATTAAAGCAGAAGGATGGAGAAAGATAAGTTATCCCACCAACAGTCTCAAGAAAGCTGACTTCTGATATTGGACAAACTAAACTTTACAACCAAAAATGTTGCTAGAGATAGATTGACACTTTATTAGAATTAAAAGGTTCAGTCCATGGGAATGATATAAAAATTTAAATATAGTAAGCCCTCAAATTATGGACATTTGAATTGTGACTTTCATAGATATGAATGGACTTCGCATTATGAACATTCATAGATGTCAGTAAACCACAGAAGTAGCTCATGTGTCTCCTAGACTCATCACAGTTGTGCTGCTGTGTGCTTACTATATGTGTAGTGCAATAGTGTACAGTAGTACAGTGCTCAGTCAGAGGCCAGGATGTCTAGATGCCAGAGAAAAAGGAGTGGTGATGTGGAGAGGACTGCTAGGAAGCACAAAGCAATATACATTGTAGATGTGTGTTAAAGGTGTGTGAGGCTCACTCCATTGGACTTACAAATGAATCTGACTTACAACCATTCCCCTGGAACGGAACCCATTCATAAGTTAGGGACTTAACTGTATGGATGTACCTTGCAACAGTGCCTTAAAATCAGTGAAGCCAGATAGGCAGAATTGAATTGAGCAATAGGCACTTTAAAAACAATGGTGGCAGACTTCTGTATTCCACTTTCAATAACAAGTAGACCAACTAGATAAAAAGTGAATGGTAGAAAATGACCAGAAACCAACTAAATCTGACAGATGTCTATAAACACTCTACCCAACAAAGCACAGCATACATCTGCTCAGGTACTCGCTGGACACCATCAAGCCAGACCCTAAATAAGCTGGGATACATTTGAAAGGGCAGAAACCATAAGTCATGTGTTCAGACCACAATAGTGAAGTTAGAAGTTAACAACAAAAAGAAATTTGAGAAATAGGGAGGTATTGAACAAGACACTTAAATAACTAGTGATTCACAGAAATCAAATGAGATGAGGTGATTTGAAGTAAGTGAAGAGGATGTCATATAATAACCTTATAGTATGCAGCTAAAACAGTCCCTGGAGAAAAATTTACAACTTTAAAAACATATTTTAAAAACGTAGGGCTCATATCAATAAAGTAATTTTCTACCTTATGACAGGATAAAACAGCAATTTAGAACAAAGCAGGGAGAAGGTGAGGGAAGAAAAAAATGAAATAGAGGACAGAAAAGTTACAGAGAAAAATCAAAACCAAAATTGGCTCTTTGAAAAGATAACAAACATTGACACATTTTTGGAATGGCTGACTAAAATGAGATGATTCATATGACTGCAATCAGACCAAAAAAAGGGGGGGTTATTACTACCAGCATGACAGAAAAGGGATTAAAAGAAAATACTATAATCATTGCCAACAAATTAGATAAATGAAATGTCAAATTTCTATAAAGACACACAGTCCCAAAATGGATTCAAGAAGTATAAATATCTGAAAAGAGCTGTAAACAAAAGGTTAAGTTAGTAGTCAAATGACTCTCATATGGAAAAGCCCAGGCCCAGAATCCCTCACTGGATTCAATACATTAAAGAAGAATTAACACCAGTCTTTTTCAAACTTCTCTAAGAATAGGAGAGAACATTCTCTGATTCATGAAGCTAAAACTGTATTGTCTTGATGCCAAAACCACACAAAGACAGCATAAATGGGGAGGGGCCTTTAGAATAATAGCTAATGAATATGATGCAAAAATCTTCAAAAAAAAAATACCAGTAAACTAATTTCAGCATATAGAAAGGATTTTACCCCAGGAATGCAAGATTGACTTCATTTTAAATCAGTTAATGTAACATACCTAATCAATAAAATAAAGGACAAACCACTCCCTGATTGTCTTAATTGGCCCAGAAAACACATTTGACAAATTTCAATCCCCTTTCATAATAAAACCTCTTGACTGAGTAAAAATAGAAGGAAAATTGCTTAATTAATGAAGGACATTTATGAGAAAGGCACAGCTAGCTAGCATCACACTTATCAGTGAATCTTCTCCCTGAGATCAGGAATAATAAAAAAATACCCATAGAGAAGCTAGGAAAATTGGGGATTTTAGGAAAGCAAATTAATAAGGCAGGGCATCTATATCAGAAAGTAAGAAGCCAATCTCTATTTACAAATTACATAAGATTGTAGATAGAAAATCCTAAGGAATCCACCAAAAAAAAAAAAAAAAAGTTTTGCACTAAAACAAATGAGTTCAGCAAGACTTAAGGGTAGAAGAGCCCTGTGCAGAAGTAAGTTATATTTCTATACTGTACCAGTGAAAGAAACAAAGATGTATAGTACGGTCAAAAAATAATCAAAATATATTAGAATGCATTTCACCAAAGACATGCCAGACTTACAATTTTAGTATCCATGGCATTGTAAGATGTGTTGGGATCTTAGAATTAAACACTGAGAGTAGAAATACCCCAGATATTTTTATAATGGACAAAAATGAATGAACCTAAAAAGATACAGTGTAGGTGGCTCCCAGGAATCAGGTTTGTACAATGAATCAAAAGAATTTGGAATTGAAAGAGAGTTTGTCCTAAAATGATCACAGCTTCTTCATAATAACCTGCCTGTCAGAAGCCTTGGAAGAGAAGGGATTCCAGGCAGAAGGGCCTGACCCCAAATCTGTGTGCCTAAGAAACTGGTAGTTCCCTGTTCCCCGTGTTCTCTAGTGGCTTAGTTCTTCAGCATTTACAACCTGTTTACACATGTACAACCCTGTGCGCTCTCTGTCCATGTGGACTGAACACACTTCCTCTTTTCCTTGGCCTGCAGACCCCAACACACCAGCTGTGGGTCATTCCTGAGCTCCCGCTCCCAGTCCGCTCTATGTTTTGGTGGCTGATTCCACTAACAACCACCCCTCCCAGCAAGCCTCGCTGAGCAATTAATTTCCCACCAGAGAATAGGAGGGGCGTGGGTGCTGCATTTCTCACAGGCGGGGAGTGAGTGTTGCTCCTGCCAGTCTGGAGTGCCCTTGGGTAGGGTGGGCCATGGACAATGGGTGCAGGTGTGGGAAAGCCAGGCAGGTCTGCCAGCTGTGACAATCCTGTCCCATGAAGCCACACAGTGAGTGCTAGAACCCAACTGTAGCATTCCCTGTGTTCTTTGCTGGTGTCTCTTTCCATCCTTGTGTGTACTTTGTCAACCCCCATTGTTTCAGTACACCAGGGACTGCTTGCTGTGGTGATTATTTTCGGATTCTTGGTTGTAGGTCAAAGAAGAAAGAATAGTTGAACTGGAAACAGAAAATGCTCTTTTTCACTTGAAATTGGCAGAGGTAATGTTTTTAAATTTTTGCAAATTTAGTTGAATTTTACCCAATGATTTACTATTGAAGTCAGTTTTTACCCTTTGTAAAAGAAATAAATCAAGGGTGACTCTCCTTTGATTTTTTCTTTTTTCCAGCTGTGAGGTGGTAGAAACCCTTCACCTGACTCAAAGTGTCTTCTTTTACTGAAATAAGTTTCTATTTCATCTCTGTTCTTACAACTCTTTAATGAGTAACAAATTAAGGAGGGATTCCAAAGCTGTTTCTTTTTGTAGCAGTTTTATTGAAGTGTAGGCTACGTATCATAAATTCATCCATTTAAAATTGTACAGTTCTGTTACTAAATTTGTAGTTGCACAGATATCTTAGTTTTTTGTGTTGCTGTCACAAAATACCTGAGACTGATTACTGTGTAAAGATCATTTATCTCTTGTTCTGAAGGGTAGGAGTCCGCCATCCAGATGCTGCGGGTCAGATATCTGGTGGGGCTCATTCTTCTGCGTGGTACCATCCTGGTGTCCTTGCATGGTGAGAGAGCAGAAGAGCACAAAAGGTCAAAGTTGGCTCCCTCCAGCCCTGTTCTTGTTAGGCATGAGTTCTAGGTGACATCATCATACCCACAAGCTCAACTTTTTTTTTGGTGGTACTGGGGATTGAACTCAGGACCTTGCACTTGCCAGGTAGGCACAGTGCCACTGAGCTACATTTTTTAATGTCACCACAGTAGGCATGAATTTTGAGGGGCTATTCAAATCATGGTGGGCACCCTCACCCTGTCCAGCTGCGTTTCCCCAAGGACACCTCATGTCCATTTACAGTCAGCCCCTTTAGTACCCCCTATCCCCTGAGGCCAGCTTTCTGGGAAGTTGACTGATGTCTTTTTGGGCTCATCCCTTGGGCACCTGAGTGAATTCATTCATTTCATATGTGTTCACCATGCACACAAACAGTCCCTCTCTGACAGCGCAGACTCGGTTTCCTGGCATTTGTAGTGCAAACATCTGATAGTCTTTTTGATCATTACAAAACAAAAAGTCCAGTCCTGCCTCTTCATGTCCCACAGCGCCAGGATCTCAACGTTACCCAACAGCCTGGCCCACCTAGCCCCTCAGAACTCAATGCAAATGATCTGTTTATTTGTGCAGTGTACTGGATAGTCACGGGCTCTGCAGTGTAGATGTCCACAGACTTCAGGGGGTGGAGGTGAGGCCATCAGCTCCCCACCAGTCCCACTTCTTTATGCCTGCACTGGTTATTATGCAGATGAAGATGAAGTTGTTGGTAGCTGCAGCTGGTTTGTTCTCCCTGTTTTTTTGCTCTCACCAAGAGAGACCTTCCACCATGAAGAACTCTCTTGTTTTCCATGTCTTCCCACCTGGCACATCAGATATTTAGAAACATTGCAAGGTTAACTACTCTTTTTCCTCGTTTACTAAAAAATCGGAAGCAAAACAAAGTCTGTGAACTAACAGGGTTCATGCTTTCTCTGGGAGAGGGGAAAAGGAGTAGTATTTCACTTACAATCAATGTTGGAGATTTTAGAAGATGACTGTATTGTGTGTGTGTGTGTGTGTGTGTGTGCATGTATATGTCTAGTACTGGAGATTGAACTCAAGACCTTCACACTAATTAGATACCCAGCCCTTTTTAAATTTTTTATTTGAGACAAAGTCTTGCTAAATCACTAAGTTGCTCAGGCCCAGCTTAAATTTGTGATCCTGCTGCCTCAGCCTCTCAGAATGCTGAGATTACAGGCCAACACCACCATGCCCATCTTAGAATATAATTCTTAAGACTTACAAATCTGTTACTTCTTTTTTCCCTCAGAAGAGTCTGAGCCCTGATAATTTAGGGACTTTATTTTGCTTCGGTTTCTTTAGTCAAATTAGGAGGTGTGGTTAATCTCCAATAGCTCCTAAATCTCTAATTTGCCTGGAGCTCATGATGGTGCACTGGTGGTATCCGAGGATACAGTAGACTGTGCAGCCCAGTTGTGCCTGGCCTCTTTCAGATCCTCCCTTCCTGTTTTCTGCTGACTCCTGTACCCTTCTGACATTTCACATCAGCTTCCGTGGTGTTCTGCCTCTCCAGCGGCTCTTCCAACCGCCATCTTTACGCCACATTTACTTTGAGAAGATATAGACACCCTTTCTCCTGCTGGGCTGCTCAACCCTGCTCTCTTTGAGGGAACCTGTGTGCTCACACAGGTGAAGTGTTGTTTTTGCACCAGGGAAGTCTCTGTTGGGCTTAGATATTACTCGGGAGCCCAGGGTTCTGTGTTTAGTGAACAACCTCACCTAGGGGTCTTGGGCTCCACAGCACAGACCCTGAGCTCCACGCCCAGGTCATACCTACTTAGGTTCATGGATCTGCTTGGAAAGATAATGGTAGAGTACAAATGCCTAAAAAAGTTCTGCAGAGAGCAAACACCACAAGACCCTAACTGCAATGCTCCTGCTTCTCATTTGCTGCTTGAGTGATGGCATTTTTAGCAGTGGTGGCTGCTCAGGCTAGAAACCCAGGATTGTTCTGGGCTGTCACCCTTGCATCTGATGCCCTGTCCTAGCTACCTGCTAAGTGCTTTGGGGGCCTGTTCCCTTTCTCTGCTGCTCTGAGTCTTGAACAGTCACCCCCTGCTGCACAGGTTCTTTCACTTTACCATTCTCCATGAAAATCCAGAGGAAGCATTCTAACATGGTCTGTCTTCAGAATTCTGCTGCTGAAGATCCTATAGGGCTTGGCCTTGTCCCCATGAGGACCCCAGTTCCTTGTCCTGTTCCCAGAGCTGGGACCTCTGTGCCATGCCCTGTGCCCTCCCATCCTCTGTCCTTTCTCTTGTGCAGTTGGGCCTTGGCTTTGCCCCAGGCAGCCCCTTTCCTTTGGATCCTTCCTCCTCCTCCCACCTGGCTTGTGCCTGCAGATCCAGCCCTCTGCAGCTCTGGGCCAGCCTCCCTGGCATGGTGCTCATTCTGCCTGGGATTACTTACCTGACTTTCCTCAAGATGGTTTAAGTGCCACACAGTTCCTTCTCTTCTATAGAGTGTCATGGACTTTCAGCAGCCGCACTCTCCTCAGCAAAAGGCCCCTGCTGCATTTTCACAAGCTTAATACTGTAAAATTTTGTTTCTTTCTGTACAACAGTACCAGGAAAGGATTGGAAGGAGTCACCGTGAGGCCACATGGTTTTCCGCTCTGCTCTGCAAACAGCAACATTGGCCTAGCAGCGCTCACCCAGCACTGGTCCAGCTCTGCCACTTGATTCAGGTAGACACAACCAGGCTGCACACCAGACTGTTTTTCAGTAGTGAGTGCTTGGTTTGACAGTGTGAAGATAGCCAGGCATGTTGGCACACATCTGCAATCCCCATACTCTGCAAGGCAGAGGCAGGAAGATCACAAGTTTGAGCATAGCCTGGGTGACTTAGCAAGACCCTATCTTAAAAAGGATTGGGATACAGCCCTGTGTAAATGCCCTGGATTGAATCTTTAGTACAAGGGCAAAAATAAATAATGTAAAGTGTTTATTTTCTGTCAGAAGTGACCATTCCTGAAGTGAAGAGAAGCCCAGGCTTATGGAAACAGGCTCCTTACAGGCATCAGACAGGTGGTCAGCACGCAGTCTGCAGACTGATCCCCTTCAAGAGAGCATCACATTCTCCTGTTCTCACATTAGTAGCAGATAGTGTTCCTTGGTGGTTCTGCTTTTTAATACTTACAAACCGAAGAAAACCTCCAACACACCTATTGGGACCTTGAGCAAAAATGGGAGCAAAAAATAATATGTTTGTCATGAGATCGATAATTTGAAATAGCTGCATTAGACTTTAATTTTTGTAAATCAGAGTTGTTCTTATGGTAATATTAAATGGTACAAAATGTCAGATTAAATAGATTTAGCTCATCATATCATCCAATGTGAACACTCACTGTTGAACCATTAATGGCTTCTAGAAAGAAACATTAGAAAAATTTACTCCATACAATCTGTTTGGCAATTCTCTAAGGTGATAGGATGTTTTTATACCTATGATTGACAACATTGTTTTACCTTTTGTTATAAACAGTGTGACCAAGGCAAAAAATTGGGAAGAAAAAAATCACTGCAACACAAACACCATCTGCAAACAGGATCAATTTCCTCTGTTTGTTAGATTAAGAGGGTTTAAGCTGTTTTTGTCCACTTAGAGTAGCTTTATGTAGAATTCATTTTCCCCTCCTACCTGAGTAAAATCAATCCACCTGAGTTTACCTGTGTTCTAGATAATAAAAACACTTTGACTCAATGCAGTTTTGATATTTTATTAAAATATGTTTTCCAATGTATGGAAAAATCTCCATGTTTATCAAAAAAATTATCTAAAAATCAAAGAACATCTAAGCTCAGTTAAGAAGTTATGACTTCAGAGTTTTTGATGGTAAATATGAAACCGTGCCACCTACATTCTTCTACTCTATGGTCCGTCATGTCTTCATACTGAAAGATTTGCACAGCAATTTCATAGGGGGAAAACACATTATGCACAGGATACCAGCTACATTATTCCCACAGTTCCCTAAAACCTCTCTTGCTTATTGTCCCTGGGACTGTTATGTACATGGATATGGTAAATGGTTTTCACCGCCACGAGCTCTTGACAATAGAGCTCCCAAAAGGTGGATCTGGAGAGTCGATCAGAGCTTTGTTCCCACTGGATGTGGCGTCACAGAGATGAGGACTCTGCCAATATCACGAAGATGTAAACAACAGGGACAAAAGAATGTCCCACGTCTACACAATGAACTGTGTACTCCTACGGAAATTGCAGGCATACTTGATTTTGTTTCCGAAGTACTTTAAAGATAGGAGAAGTATGAAATTGCATGAGCAGCTGCTACAGCTCCAGTCCCAGAACTACTGAATCAGTGTTTCTAGACATGACCCCTGGGCTTGTGTTTGTGACCCCACATGGCATTTCCACGTGGCTCTGATGACGAGCTTCTCTTCAGATGGATTTTGTTCATGATAAATAACTCCTGTTGGCTGATGGTGGGGCTATGTTCTGACTTGTAGCAGCTTGTATGATCGATCATTGTGCAGCTGTACTGTAGCTGCAGCTGATAGTAATCTAATCGGTTGCATTAAGTATAGATGTTCTCACTCCTTAGAAACTTAAACAAGATGTCAAGGACTTTCGTTCTTCATTTCTGGGCCTGTGGAGCAGCTGGCAGGCCCAGTACCAGGAGCACCTTTCTGATATGGCAGCTGCTGTGCAAAGAGCACAGCTTGGCACTGAAAGTCTGCAAGGTGAGACCGCTTCATCTGGATGTTAGCTGGTGCATTCTTGGGAGAGATCTTTTAGATGGCTGCCTAAAAGTGAAGTCATTTCTTTGGACTCCTTGCTAACGCCTGATACAGTGTCATGAATATATCCCATGCCACTCACAGCAGTGATTCAGTGCCAACTGTTTCCTGATGTCTGGCTGCCTCTACCCCTCCTCCCTTGCAGCCCATCCTGCCTCAGGGTCTCTCTTTTCTCCTGAGCACCTGATGAACACATTCTTAACTTTGCCACTCGGGGCTAAACTGGCCCTTCTGTGACTGATTTTCCCCAAACAGGACCCAGGTGTTCTGTCCCCCTGCCTCCTTTCTTTCTTCCTGTCCTAGAATCCCAAAAGCCAGGCTGCTCTTGGGCTACAATGGCTTTGTCATGTCAAACCACTGCACTTACACCATCATAGTGCTTCAGTGCCATGACATAGACTCTTCCTCCAAGTACAACATAGCTATGTTGTGTGAATCCACACTTGAGATAGGTAACAAGCCAGGTATGTGAGAAGCCATCATCTTGTGCTTTCCCAGATTAGTGTATCAATGCTTGTAGACTTCTATTGCTGTCCTGTCAGGCCAAAAGATGTTTGCATCAGATAACCTTAGTGACTCTGGGCTCCCTCAGTGGCCTCCATGATGCATGCAGTTCAGTGACTTCCCACAGCATCTTGGGATGTGACTACTGTGTTTGTAGGCGTGTGCATATGCATGTGCATACACTCACATGTGTGTGTTTGTGTAGTGTATGTGGGGAGAGTGTTAGTGTTTATGGTGTAATGTATACATGAAGGTGCTATACATGTGTTCTGTCTGCATGCGTGTGTGGCGAGTATTGTATGTGTGGTATGCGTGGTGTGTGTGTATGGATGGTGTGTTCATTGTGCACGGTGTGTGTATGTGTGTGTGGTCTGCCAGGTTGCATTCCCCCACCATTGTATGGCAGTGTCACAGGGAAGAGGGAGGAGAGCAGCCACAGCTTTCCCTAGGGACGTGCAGCCCTGTGTGACACTTCTGTTGCCCTGGCTGCCATTCAAGGGTTACTACCCACACCAACTCTAGGAAATACGGCCAGGGGAATGATATCTCCCAGGGTTCATTCACAAGAACTGTCCCATTCAGGTGCCATGGAATGTCCTGGCTGACCAGCCTCCCCAGGGTGCCTTCTCCTGTTCAGTTGATCCTTGTCAGAGATGGGTCTCAGACATGGCTGATGCTTAAGCACTGTAACTGGCAGGACAGGTGGTGGAACAGCCAGTGTCAGGGACCAGGGAATGCTAGTAATCAGCTGAGTAGCTCCACACAAATGCTACACTCCAAGTCAGGCACTCTTTTTCTTACACCTGTCCTCTCTCTGGGACCCAGTTTCTTTTCTGGAGGAAGACAAGCTCTTCAAGAGCACTCAGTTTCAGGACCATGAGTGTCTAATTGTCCTACCCAATCTCAGCTCCTCGAAACCCTGGCAAGGCTGTGTCCTATAGCTGATGGCACATGGTACAACCCCAGGAGATGGTTGGGTGGCCCTCTTGGCTGTCACTTATCATCTAAACATGACGCATCTCTTGGAGTAGCCTTCATGGGACTTCAAGCTTTTGGCCAGGCCACCTGCATGGTAACCTGTCTGGGCACCAGGGTGTTCTTGCTCAGCTGTGGCTGCACATTGTCTCAATGCTTAGAGGAAAATCTCCCGTCATCCTTTCATTCTAGCTAGGTTTTTGCTCCATGGGGAAGGAAGTGGAGGCCACAGGTCATCATTAACAGTGGACAGAAACAGAAGCCAGATCTAGTTTCTCTGGCACCTCAGATACCCACAGAGCAGGGTCCGGGGCTGGGTACCTTCTGCCATAACATGGTTGTGGAGCCCAGGCTCCTCGGTGTGCTCTTCCACCATTAAGCCCTTCTATTGCTGTCCTGTCAGGCCAAAAGATGTTAGCATCAGATAACCCTTGTGACTCTGGGCTCCCTCTGTGGAGGGATTGAGAATCTGGATTGAGAATCTAGTGATGAAAGACAAAACTTAGGACACCTATATAGCCTCAAATGGCCCACAACCTACCCTGCTGACCGCTTGGGTACTTTAACATCTCCCATGCTTGGAGAAGCAATTCGATCTCTTTTCTTGTGGTGTTGCTGTAGGTAACCTAGGGTAAAATTATCCTTTCAGCATGTCAATCAGAGGTCCACCGTCTCCAACTGTCCTTGAAAGAAATGGACATGTGCTACCACCTGGAGAAGCAGAAAAGGAGAGAGCTCCACAACACTGTGGTGGTGAGCACCCCATGCAGCCAGTTATCACCATTATCTCTGCAATTCAGAGGCAGCATCAGGACAGACCTGCGGTGGCATGAAGTCACACTTCAGTGACACTGGACCAAAACTGCAGAGACACAAGGGGGTTGGAGGACAGGAGGGAAACCTGAGGTGTGGTGGCTTCAGCACAGAGGGCAGCAGAAGCCATAGCTGAGTGGAGAGACCATCACCTGGGATTGCGTGTCCTCCTTCCCTAGAAGCCATTAGCTACCCTAGCTAATTGGGAAACAGCCATGGAGAAGGAGAGGGTGTTAGTGTTGAAAGGCACCTTTGGCTAAAGGGCCACACTGAAGCCTCGCAGGACATAGATAGGTTGGGGCTACATCAGCAAGTCTGAGATGACCAAGGGGTCAGGCTGACAGGAGTGTGAGAGAGAGAGAGGTGGGAGAGTATTGTGTCAACAGCCAGGAACCCAGAGCTCTCTCTGGCAGAGATGTGCTGAGCCCTCCATGGTGTGGGGACCTAACCTCCCCTGCAGCCTGTCAGCTTCGTTGCTCCCCAAGAGTCCAAGGGTGTCTCCTTCACTTTCTTGGAAGGTATGGAATCTGCATTCCCAGGAAAGGTAAAGCTAAATCCCAGTTTACCAACGTGAGGGGCCCACAGCTGATAGCTGATGTTAGGAGCCTTTCTGGGAGGTGTGCCTCCTGTGGTTATACTTTAGCCAGCCTCTCTAGGTCCAGCTAGAGAAGCTTGCATTTCTGAGGGGCTCTCTGCTCCCTTGCGGTGACCCTTCTTTTGGTGATAGACATGCCTGAGAGCAATTCTCTCTTTAAGAACATTTTCTCATATTGTTCAGTACCGAAAATATTAACAGAAGTCAATTATTGGGTACTTACTTTGTGCTGGACACTTTTAAAAACATTTTGGTCATTTATTTAATCTTCATCGTAGCGCTACCTTTCTGTATTGAGAATCTAGTGATGAAAGACGAAAGTTAGGTAGTTGTCTGCAAGCTGTAGCATTCATTATACTGGGTGGGGGTAGGCAAAATGAAGCTACCTAAAATGGGTCAAGTCTACTGCAGAGCAATGGATTGCAGGAGATTCCAAGAGTGCTGAAATCAGCTGAGGTCTCCTGGTCTCATCTGTCTGGGTCCCCGCATGGAAAGCACAGAGACAGGCTTGTTGGCTCAACCTCTGTGGGAGCCCAGGGGACACCTTGAGAAGCCACACGGTAATTGGTTAAAGTCACTCACTAGTTTTCCAAGAGAAACGAGCTGGTTTCCAGCTTGGGAAGGCACACACCCAAGGCTGAGTAAGGGGAAGGCATACAGCTTCTGCCTCCTGTCAGGGTCAGGGGTTCCCACACCAGTGTCCAGGGATGTCCTCTAGGCTCTGCTCTGGCCCTTTTCAGATCATTATGTTTCTGAGTGACTTGGAGATGCGGAAAACACGACTTGTTATATCTGGGAATGATCAATTTTGAAAGGGATGGATCAGAGTATTGCAAACTATTTCAAGACACCAGAGGACTAACTGAAGCTGACTTGGGTTCAGAAAGCGAGACACAGGATAGATGGGAGAGACAGGCAGGGCTGAAGAATATCAGGGCTCCCAGTAGTGGCAACACTCTGCTGAGCCAAGACCAGTTTCAAGTAGAGGTATAAGTGGTAGAGTTAACCGTGTTATTATTAGCCAACCCTCTCAGCAACTTCCAGCAGAGTGTGAGGGACGGGCTATGCCTCCAGTGGCAGTGCCCTTGACACCAGGCTTCTCTGTCCATGTGCTGGTGCCCAGGTGCAGGAGATGGGGCAGGCCCTGCCTGTGGGGGTGGCACCTGTCCTCTGCAGATGGGATAGCTGCTGGGTCTTGCCTACTTTCTCCCATCCAGTCCTACTCTCCTCTTTACTGAAGGCTGTCTCCTCTCAGGTGCTCAGTGCAGCTTCCCTCCCTCCCCTTCTGAGCCTTTCCCATGACTCTTGGTCTGGCTTAGTGTACTTTCAGGTATATGTAGACTTACATATGTGTGAAGGGTCCCCCTCTTTCCCCTAGTATGTCAGCATGACCAGGGAAACTGGGCAGAATCAATGGCTCCCATAGGGTTGGGTCCAGGCCTCTTTGGGAACAAGATGCCTATTTGCCCATGACTTATATGTTGGATGATGGCCCCCAGCTTTGTGTTTGCCTCAGAACTGCTAGGCATGTGAGGACTCTTCTGGGCTTCGCCACTGGAAGAGTGGCAGGGCCAGAGCAGCCTCAGCCCTGTTCATATCTGCATAGGACCCATGCCAGAGAGGAGCTTCTCACTTGAGACACAGCACTCAGAGGGGTGAAACCACGCTGGGTGGATCTTAGCCATCTAAGGACACTGGTGGGACTTTGCTGTGACAACAAGGGCTGGTGAGAACTAATGAGAAAGCAACAGCGCCTGGAGAGTGTTGTCCCTGAGCTCGAGGTTCTGACAGAGCCATGTGGAAGAATGGTTGGCGTCTTTACTGTGATCTCACATCATAAAGGGCATGGGTAGGAGATGCCAGCACGGTACCCGGGGGCAACTTCCCTGTCATCAGAGCCAGGAAAGCATAGCCCAGCAGGATTTTCCTCTTAGCTCTATGGCTAACTTAATCACTATTTTGAAACATGTTCATACAATAATAGAAATGTTAGATTTATTAGTTCCTCCTTCTGCCCTGGTGGAGTGGTTCTGCCCTCATACTTGGTTCTTTGCCTTCAACCTGGCAGGATCACATCCTAGAGGAGCCATTTGAGGAGGGTCAGAATGATGAGGAACAAGGTGAAATTTCTGAAATTCTACCTAAAAGGCCTAAAAAAGTTAGTCCATGATGCCATTAATGTTCTCATTGCTAATTACTGCCTGATGAAAATCATTTGCCAAGGAAACAGATTTGTTACATCTGAATTTTAAAATGCCGACAGAAAACACTGAGTGACAAGCCCACACTGCAGGGATTTTTCCTCAAGTCCAAACGAGCACGGTGCACTAGTGATCCCATTTGGGGAAAAGCTGCTTTCTACACATCCTCTGCTAGGGTAGGTTTGTGCTCGGTCTTGTTCCTGTGTTGATGGTTGGAATCTGTTTATCCTCACAGGAGCTGAAAGGAAATATCAGAGTTCACTGTCGAATTCATCCTTTGTTGCCTTTGGATACTGAGCTGGGCAATCCAGATTCACAGAACGGGTAACTTGCTGTGGCACCCTTGTGTAACTGTGTGTGGCAAGGTATAGATGTGGCATGAATTTCCATGCCCCCTGTTTTCCCAGCCCTAGGCCCTGGTTAGAGCTCCAGGTCTGTAGGTGAAGACTCTCCTTCAGGGCTGCGCTGTCCCTGTGGAACACAGCCTCAAAGTAGCTAGAGTATCCCCATGCACACAGCGCACCCAAGAGTTCTGCTGCCCCCGTCTTCAAAATTTGCTCCTGTCCTGTTCAGGGAGGTGTTAAATCAAAAGGGGCATCCCTCTTCCCTCTTACCTCCCGGAAGGACTCCTCAGAGACACAAGAAGGTGATCAGAATTGACTGCAAGTTTGGTGGTGGTCATGAGTAACACAGGACTCTGAAGTTCGTTCATGCAAATGTTTATTTGATACAGTGTGCTTTTATGGGGGGGTGGTACTGGGGATCGAACTCAGGACCTTGCACTTGTGAGACAGGTGGCAGAATCACTAAGCTAAATCCCCAGCCCCACAAATGTTTATTTGAAAGGCAGGTTCCACGTAACTCTTGCTTCTGTTAATTTCCTCACCTACCTGCTCCTACTCCCAAGGGTGCCCACATCTTCCTCACCTACCCAGGCTGGTCTCTTCAATGGTCTGCTTTCTGTTCAGAGTTTGGTTTCTGTTGCTCTTTTGGTCTTCGGGTCCCTTCTCTTACCCTGTTCAGGTTTTGCTCCTCTTTAAGGGCCTGGCTGGGGATGCCATATTTACACTAGACGTTGACTTCAGACAGTCCTCAGGAACCTGTGGGTCAGTCCCAGAATGTGAAACAATCTCTTCTTGATGATGATTGAAATTTGTTTTATTTTCAAAGCATTAGGATTTTCACTTTTTGCTAGGGATGATAGGAAATACACTTTTTTGATTGGTGGCCACTTTTCATTTATCGAAGAACTGAAAATAGGGAAAAACAATGTAATACATTAATTGATAGTTCTCAAATGGGTTAAGGTTTGTTGAACTTGCTGTTCAAATAGTATGTACTGATTGCTTTTGTCATATTGTTAATCTGTGGCAAATAGATGTAAACAGATGCAAATAAATCAGAAATTCCTTTGCTCAGTTCCTTTGAGACACACTGCTCCCAATGCCCTTAGGACTGTCCTGTCCAGCCCAGAAGAGACTTGGGAGAGGCTACATAATGCTTTGGTTTTGCTCTTCTGTTTTTCATACTCATTTAGTTTTGTTTTGAAACATGTTGTCCTTTTTCACATTCCTGATTGCTTCCAGGAACTTAGGCTCCTAAAGGCACAGACCTTGTAATTTTTTTGTGTCTCCAGTGTTCTAAAGCCAGGCTGTACAAGTGGGAGTGTAAATACTTTGCAAGTGACAACAGTATTGCTGGGTCGCACATTGAGCACATATAGGAGGGTGGGATCATGGGTAGAAAGAAGACAATGGAGAAAAAACTTCAAGAGAAGATAAAGGAGAGAGGGTGTGGTAAAATAAGACTAAAGAATAAAGAAAGGATGAAGCCAGCGTGGCAAAGAATGGGTCTATAGAAAAGACACATGGATACAGGAAGAGGCCAGGAAACACATGAGAAAGAGTAAGGAATGAATCCATAGTCCAGAGAGACAGAGGAATGGTCTAGAGAGAGAGAGAGGAATGGGACAAAGAATCAGAAAGCAAGAAAGCAGTGAAGGCATGCGAAAAAATAAGAGTGTTTTAGAGTTTGGATATTAGGAACTGAGAAATTCCATTGATTGTGGAGAGCCTCTTACACTTCATTTACCCCCGCAGCTCTGTCTCCAGAGAAGTGGCCCACCCTGTGGACGAGGTGAGTAGTCCTACGTATTCTCTTTACCGAAGCTTCCTGCTCAGGTGCCTGGTGTTCTCAGAGATTTCCACTGCTGACAGCAACTCAGGCAGAATGAAAAGAAAATGATTTCCTCCCTTACACTATGCTGTCTTGGTTAACAAGGACAGATTGTACTTCTTGATTTCTGCTGGAACACAATTAATAAAGCATCTCTTTCACTCTCCTCATGAAAAACCAGCACCAGGTCTGCATTCTGTGGGAAGAAGTTGCTTGACCTGCATTCATTTTCAGGCCCAAAAGATCAACCTCTTGTAAATTGAGTTCTAAAATTTAGAGCCTTAAGAAATATCTTTACAAATATAAAAGCAATGAAGTTAAGTATGAAGTTTATAAGTTTGACTTTGAAATTGTATGATTTTGTTTGCCCTTAAAGCCATCACACTTAGTTATGTCCACCCTGGGCATAGCTGTGTCAGCCCAGCACCCTTCTGTGGTCTCTAAGGAAAGGGTGCTGCTCAGATGACCCTCATCTGGGTTGGAAAATGGACAAGAGGAGCCAAGAACCCTCATGTGTACAGAGAGAGAAGCACCAAGCGTGATGGCTGTGACCTCAAGACGCAGTGTCCACCATGAGGGACTCTAGCCGATGGTAGGGGAGGCAGGAACTCTGCAAGTAACTCAAGCAGACTGAGACATGTAATCATATTTAAAACCTTCGAGTTTGTAATTATTTTTTTTTAAACTCTGATGCACATTCTATAGGAAACATTTCAGGGCAAATGAGTAGCTTTGGAGAAAAAGTTCTTTATAGATGATCCCAGTTGGTAAATTCAGAATGAGTGATGAAATTGGAAGCCACCCTTTGACACCCATGAGGAGTTGTGACCCTGGGTCTCTGACACCAATGGTTGCTGCGGCCCTTGGGCTTTGGCTCTGTGGCCCTCTGGGTACATGACACTGCCTTCTTGGGATGGGGGATAAAAGGACAGGGCTCCTTATGAAGGACTTCTGCTCTAGTCAGGTCTCCCATCTGTTTTGTTAAAGGAAAGAGCCACATCCAGAATGTGTATGTTCTTTAGGACAAAGGAGGGTTTCTCTAACAAATCAATAACATTTTAAAAAGGGGTAAGAGGAAGGCAGTTGCTGAAGAGGGAGACATAGCCATGATGTCAGCCATTGCAGGGCCTCATTTGGAGCTCAACTTGAACAAGCCAACTGTAGAAGACATTTGCGGACATGGGGAGTTTGTGGTGTGTGCAGTGTGACTGGAAAAAGGACTTTTATCTCCCCCTCACTGTTGCTAGCATGCCTGAGCGTTAAATTGGCATAGGACAGGTTAGCAGGAGAACAGTACACAGATTTACTTAATATGAGGTTACAGGACACTGGTACAAAGCTTTGTACGGAGGTGACGACCTAGAGTAGTGATAGAACTTGAGAGCTTTCACACAGACTGAACCGAGAGGAGACTAAGGAAGACAAGACATGGGAAAGCAGGGCCCAGCTCAGCCAGCTCCTGCTGTAAACCTGTCCCTGGTGGGATGTTTCTTCCTGGGGGTTTCACCACCTGCTATCAGGGAGAAGGTGTCTTCTTTTGCCTGGTGCTTTCTCAAGTGCCTTTAAAGACAATCTTCGTGCCAAAGCAGCATATTTGGAGTAGCCTGTTCTGCCACTGCTAGCATTTGAATACGGTTTGAGTGTATCCCCAGAGGTTCACCTGCTGGTGGCTTGGTCCCAGGGTGGCATATTGGGAAGTGGTGGAACCTTTAAGAGGCACTGCATCTGCAAAGCGATGAAGTACCTTCTAGAGGGACCCTAGTCAGTTCCCCTAACAGTGAGAGCCAATGAGCCAGCCTGCTTAAATAATTAGTATTGCTAATTCTGAATTTAACCTGAAGATCTCAGGCCATATAGATTAGATCATTTTGAAGATATTTTACCTTGACTACTATACATCTTATTCATTTTTTAACAAGGTCTATTTTATCTGAATTAATCTATTGTATACCATAAACTAGCAATTCTTTTAGTTAATGGGCTGCTGGCCTTATTATTATTATTTTTACAAACAGTCCAAGAAAATTGTTAAGCTACATTTAAAAATTCCATTGACATTGTCTCTTCAAATAAACACTTCAAAACTTTCCTTTTAGAGCATTTTTTTCTTACTGGATATGTATTGCCTCAAGCAACAGTATTGCTGAGTGAAGCAAAAGGAGGCAAATGAAATCCTCCTTAGTAATGGAACCCTGACCATCACCTCGCCACTGCTCACCCTCCATAGCCAAGCCTGAGTGTCTACAGCTGTGTAATCGCCCATCTTAATCCTTCTGTAGCCAGTGAGCCTGGCTGGCCCCCAAGAGCTTTCCAGAGGCTGGAGGCCTGGCCAAGCGCTCAAGGAAGGCTCACTCCTGTTATTAGCTGCATTTCTTTGTTACTCTATCCATCCTCTGAGCAACCTCTCGAGGCCTTGCAAAATTCCACTGAATCTTCAAATTCAGAAATCTGAGTCTTCCCATATCTTACCCAACAAAATAAGATAACATTTCTCTTGATTGGGCATTTTGTATTATGTGTAAGAAAAATCAGCGAAATTCAAATTGTTCATTAGACCTGCTTGTTGAAGGACTTGGTATTGTGAAATCTGCTGAAAGAGCAGGTCATCGGTTTTGTGACTTTGCAACTCTTGGCTCCCACATGCTGTTTTTATTTCCAAAAGTCTAAAGACTTGCAGTTTGCATTTGATGTAACATGGCATTTAATTTCAATTAGCAATTTCTTCAGTGCTGAATAGTTTTGGATTCATTCTATATAATAAGATCTGCCTAGGATGGAAAGTAACTGTTGTCTCCATTGGTATCGCTGTCTTCAGGTTATTTCCTTGCTTTTTTTTTTTTTCATTTAATTTACATCTGCTTGTTTGATAATCAGATATAGAACAGACTTTTCTGGCTTTGTATCAAGTTTTTGCTGAACTGTCACTTGCCATTCTCTATACTACTGACTTTTAGTTACTGACTTGAATTCCTGAGTGTAGATGTTAGAGCCTGTTGATCAAATTACTTATCTCAATGTCAAAACCTGTTTTTGGAGAACTACCCAAGGACACTGATGGATTTGGAATGCTAGAGAAGGCTCTTAAATGGCTGGATCTGGGAGTCCTTCTCGTATTACTTGATCTTCTATATCTCTGGTCTTCAGGCCTTGAACTCCCATAGCCAGGACTGCAGGCACCCAACAGCAAGGTGGTTCACTCAGAAGTGCAGAGCACACCCAGGCCCTCCTTTCTGTGGCACCTGGCCTGCTGTTGTATGGAGCAAAGGCTGAGCCAGCTGTGTCCCTTCCTGGTCCTGACCCCTCCAAATCCCGGTGCCATACAGCCTACACCAACAGTTGGGCCTCTGGGCGTGGTTCACATACTTTTCAAACCAAGACCATTGAAAGAGCCAAAGCTAAATTCTTGAGTTTCTCTTTGGATCTACTCTTCCTTTTCCAATTCAACAAGTGACAGCACCATTTTCCCAGGTCACCATTGATGGTGACCAGACTTAATCCTTCACCAAATTCTGTTCATCCTACTGTGAACATCTTTTCTGTCTGATTTACTATTTCCATCATGGTGAGGCCATGCCTTCTCCTAACTGCCCATGGCTGACCTAGCCCCATGTTCAAGTCACTTCTTCACTGCATCTATGTGAAGTTACCGAAGGCATCGTGCACCCTGAATTGCACCTCTTTCTGCCTACCTGTGCTTGCCTGTGGTCTCCTCCCTGTCTCAGGGATTTTGCCCAGCCTCTCCACTGAGCTGGCTCACCTGCTCTCCCTTTTTCTGTTTTCAACATAAATATCTCTTTCTTAAAAAGCCTATCTTGGGATCCCAGTCTGTATCAGGCCACTCTTGTTGCCAATCTTGTTGCCTCTGTATCTTTTTTTCAGGGTACTCAGCGGGTCTTGATAGATTTATTTGTCAGCTTATTTGCCAGTGTGTCTACATCACTGGGCCGTAAGCTTTCAGGACAGTGCTCTGCCTCTATTTACCATATAGACTCAGGAAAGGTCTGGAAGGATCCGCCATCAACGCAGCTTATTCCATGGCAGGCACTTCCTGTCCATATGGGGATGGAGGGACACAAGAGAACAGAGTGGGCTGCTTTTCATTAAGACGTTTCAGAAAGTGATCCACTTTGCATAAGGCCTCTGGAGTTTCTTTTACAATGAAATTCCTTTTTCTTATTTGATGTGTAATCTAAATCACAGAACCATAGACTTAATGAATTATACAATGGTAAGGCACCAGGGCCACATGGTAATATAGAGGAGTAACACATGAAAATAATAAATGTCATTGCTTTGTGAAGAGTCCACCGACAAGGGGATATTGTCCTGTGAACTTTCACTAGTCCAATAGTGAAGCAAAGCAATTTAGAACTACTGTGTCAGTTCAGATAGCTCAGGAAAATGCACCATGTACCTAATGTGCATAAAACAGTATGTGACTTGGAACTTGCCTTCCCAGTTATCACCCACACAGTCCCAGACATCTGTGTTCCTCAGTCATCATGAAAAATGCAAGAAGGATCAGTTGGCGTTTGGTGTCCGGTGTGATGTATGTCAGGTTTATCCCACAATCTAAGCTGTTTGACATGGAGCAGAAGGTAGATTTGGAAAGAGGTGTTGCTTTCCTGGTCCTGGGGAGGAGGGCAGGGATGAGAGGTGCATTCCTCTCTGTTCAGAGAGAGAAGAAGAGCTCAGAAAAGTTGAAAAATCTGACATATTGACCAGGAGCAACAGAACCCGCATTCCCAATTAACCGGGGAGACAAACTTTAAATGTGTGAGGAAGAGGGTGTTGCCACCCCCTGCTGAGAATCCTAGTGCTTTGGCACTAATGTAAACAGAGCTCCATCCTTTTCTCTCCCTTAGTTTGTTGTTGAACAACCTTGGCCTGAGGGCCTGGGCATTTCCTGCAGTCCAGTTTGGCTAGCAGCAAATTTGCCTTCCAGAACAGCTCACCTTGTTCCTGCAAGCTGGCAGGTATACCCAGGCTGGGGGAGTCCCCAGGGAGAAGGTGTGGAGAACTTCGCGGAGAGGTGCATCTAGTCCGTCTCTCACTGTGATGTCCACAGTGCTGATGATCATGCATGTCATTGGGGTAACAAAGCAGTGACGTCCACTCTGGCACCTATTTTCCTTTATTCCTTTTATTCCTTTCCTGGAAACTCCTGAAGGAACACCCCCTCCCCCACTGTGGTTACTGAGGGTGCAGTCACTTCGGGTGGGATGGATCCCTGTTCTCTCCCAGGTTCCCCAGCATGGGGAGCATGGGACATCTGGACCGGTGAGATCATGGATCTGCACACCCAGTGTCCAGGGTCTTCCTTCTCCTCGTCATTGTCTGATGGACGCTGACGATGCTCTGCCTCTGCCAGGGAGGATCATGCAAGGCTGCATCCCAGCGTAGACTGCTGAGTGCAGCACAGTCCCTGTCAGTCGTTCTGACCTGGGCCTCTGGTCCCCACTCAGTTCACAGTGAATTGTCAATGCACTTGGGTTTCTGCTTTTGCCATCTGGTTGCTCTGTATATTTCTAAGTGTAGAGAAGTAAGGTGATCCAAAACCTTCGCCTGCGTATTTATTTTGATACTGCAACTACGGAAACTAGAACCCAGGCAACAACTCACTCTGCCTATGTGACCCTACCATCCCAGCTGCCCCCTGAGTAAGTTTATCACTCTTTCTAAATTATGTATTGATGGTGTCTTGTACTGAATGGAAACAGATATTCTTAACATTTATAAATGACACTTGCACATATATATATAGGAAATTTACATAAGATTTTTCTATCCACAGATGCTGCTAAAAAGTCATTGGTTTGTTTTAATTATGCTTTCTGAGACTTTTTTCTTGTCCTACCTGTGATGTGCTAAGATTTATGTGTGTGAGCCCATCTTCAGGGTGACATGAGGTGCAGGCTGGCCACACCACGGGCTGCCTTCCTTCCTTTTTCAGGCTCAGTGGCCTCTTGGGCCATGGTTCCCTGGTGGCACCTCATAGGCAGGCACTGCTCCTGTGTGCAGAGCCACAGGTGTGACAGTGAGTATTCTGGCCCCCAGATGGGATCAGGGACTGCCCCCACCTGTGAGCACACCTAGGTTCACATGCACAGTGAAGGTGCCAGGTGGTTCCCATCTACCATCAACTGCTCACCAGGCAGTGACGACTCCTGCCTCATTCTGTGAGCAGATGACCAGGGAAATGCAGGCCCATGGAAGTTGCTTCTGAACCTGAGCCAGGTCAAGGCTGGTAGGGGCAGCTGGACAGGTGTGTGAACAGAGTTCCCACGCTTCCTTTTGGACCCACAAGGCATTCAGAAAAATGTGAAGATATAGGGATTAAAATTTACTTGAGGCTCCAAGATTAATGATAGTTTTATGCCCTACACACTTGTAAAGCTATTCTAAGAAACTGAATATCCATGTTTCCCAAAAAATAAGACCTAATAAGAAAATAAACTTTAGCTGTAATTAACAACTGGTCATTACCATGTTGATGGCCAGTGTCATACAGAAGATTATACCTTACTATTCCCTTGTTTGGTGGCTATTCTGTAACGTCAGGCTGATTGGAGCTGGCATTTTTTATCTCTAGTTATGTCTTATTTTCAACGAAACATGGGTAGACAAAAAAATGGATGGTGAAAGACTGGGAATGCAACTCAGTGGTTGAGTGTTAACTTAGCAAGCTCACGGCACTGGATTTCACTCCAGCACTGGGGGGTGGGGGAAGGGAACACCTTGAGAAAAGAGATGATAAAGTACCTAAATGTAAGGAAAACAACTTTGTTAGATTTAACTCTGACCCAGGCAGTCATGAGTGTTGTATTGAATCCTGGAGTCCAGCGAGTGCTGTGATAAGGTCTATGCTCAGTCGAGGCCTGGCTTCCTCCGGAAGTAGCTCCACATCAGGCAGCTCCCACCCTAAAAGGCTCAGAGCTGTAGGGCCTGGAGTTTGAAAGTTGCATAAAGGAAATTGTTTTAAAAGCTGAAGGAAGTGACTCCTGTGTTTGAGAATAAGGGATATTTAGTATTGTGGAAGAGGAGATTTTTGAGGGAACAGTTAGGAAAGAGCATTTAAGCTATACTTGGAAAAATTAAACATTGCTTGTGGAATTGTTTCAGATGTTTAAAGTGTGCTGATTACACTGGAACGAAAATCTAAAAGGCTGTGGGGAGTATTTTGGACACTAGCTTGCTTTTATGGCTTTTTATGCTCCTTATATGGTGTCTTTTGAGCTTTGAGGCCAGGCCTCATGAGCCTTGGCTTTTTCACTTGTTTTCCTTTATGATTAAAGTGCGGGCATTAGAGGCAAGCAGTGTATGTGTCCTGTGCAGTTCATCGTGGGGCTCCGGGGTACTCCTGGCCTCACACTGCTGTCACAGACTGTAGGAGGAAGCTTGGTTAGAGGCTTGTGGGGGTTCTGGTCTGGACGCCGGGAACTTGCAGGCCTATTCTTCTGGCTCTTCAGTGCACGGGTCCTGCTTCAAGGTGGAGCTCTGGCTCTTATCTCTTATTTGGGAGCTGTGGGTGTGAGGAGAGCTGTACACACCCAAAGGTAGCACTCCTGGGGCAGGGGCTGCACATAGAGCATACTCAGGGGGTACTCTGGAGACATGTGCACCCAGTGAGCGTCCCTGAATGAGTCTTCGTTTTCATAGAGACATGAGCAAATAGCAATGGAATCAACATCTCTGTCCTGTGAGGTCACCTCGGCAGCTGTAGCTATGTGACAGTACAAAGTGCATTCACCCTGCCTTCCTCCCCTCCCACGCTGGTCCCTGGGGATAGGTCCACCCACCGTGTTCCTGAGACTTTTCCTTGTGGTGCTGGATGGCCTCCTGGCATTAGAGTTCGGTCAGAGCTTGAACTGAGTGCTCAGTGACCCCTTGCTCTGTAAGACCTGATTTTTTGTGTCACCGCCCCTTGTTTAATGGCATTTTGGAGAGTTTCTACAGCAGTGATATGAAGGTCAAGAGAGGGGATAGTTGGGGTGTGGCACTGTGGGAGCAGCCAAGAGCAGCAGACAGAAAGAGCAGTCTGGTCAAGGTTTCAGCTATAATTGGATAGGTTACTGAGGCTGATAGTGAATAATTTCTTCATAATATGCTTGTGTAGGCTTTTCACACTTCGACAAAAAATACTTGACAAAAATAACTTAAAGGAGGAAAGATTTATTTTGAGTGATAGTTTCAGAGGTTTCTGTCCATGGTCAGCTGACTCCATTGCTTTAGGCCCGTGGTGAGGCAGAAACATCCTGGCAGAACAGTGAGGTGAGGAAAGCTGCTCACTTTGCAGAAGCCAGGATATAGAAAGAAGGAGAGAGCCAGAGAGCAAGGGGCCAGGGATCAGATATAGTCCCCGAGGCCACACCCCTATGACACTCCTTTCCACCAGGCCCCACCTCCTGAGTATCTATTTCCTCTAAATAATGCCACCCAAAGATCACCATTGAAATTGACCTTTTCAGTGGGTTAATCCACTGTGAAGTTAGAGCTTACATGCTCCATTCACCTTCCAGTCTTCCTACCTCTGAATACCTCATGAGTCTCTTAGGGAGCATTTTGGATCTGAACCATAATATCACCATGCCCAGATGCATGCCTGACACTCCAGTGGTGTTTTTCTCTGCTGAAAGCAAGGCTATCCCATGTGCCAGAGCCAGCCTTGGGAAGCAGAGAGTCTTAAGTATGTCCAAATGGGTCAGTACTGTGCTCCAGCCATCATGGTGACTCTCTTTCAGCAGTAGATAAAGACACGTGACCACCTCTGGGACAAACAGATCTCAGGTCCTACTTGTGGCCACCCAAAACAGGCCGTGTTTCCAGCCTGTGTTTATTATTACAGGCAGTCTCCTCTCCTCACCTCCCTCCCCACCTCATACTTTCTCTATGTGTATAAAGTCCCAGTCTGGAGACAGAAGGCATCAAGCTGGCATAATCCCAGTATCACTATGGAAAAGTCAGGTGCTTCTGGGTATTTCACCACTGCAATTATTAGGGGTTTTTGTTTGTCATTAGTTTTCTCTGTGCTACTGTTCCTTCATGAATTTGTGTTTTGTTTTAAAACTGGAACCAATCCAGGCTCATCTTTCCTTTGCTGAAATGAAGCAAAGCTAATCCATAATCCTTGCTTCTTATACACAGTATGTTACTGAGGAAAGTAGCTCTGCAAGACCAAGAGTTGCCAATGCTTGAACGGAGGCATTTTAGCTTTTCCCTTCGTAATTGAATAATTCTGCTGCCTGAGACAGGACTGCTCTAGCTGTTGGACTCCTATACCTCTTCTGATTGCCAAGTGCCTTGCACATTGGCCTGCGGGCCAGTGGCCCCTTGACCCGTCAAGTCTGCCTCAGAGAGCATGACCTCCTCCCCTGTGTCAGGGGTCAGCAGCCCCCTTCAGAGGGCAGGTAGATGCACAGTCTGAGGCCATCTGGCCATGGTCTGGATTACCCAGTGCTTCCCTTCAGTCCAGCACCCATGTGCCATCTGTCAACAAAGGGCTCTGTGTGCTCCAGTGAGTCTCTGTTGACAAAAGCAGGCAGCAGCTGGCTCTACCCTGGGGCTGTCCTCTGTCAGCCCCACACAATGCTTAATTAATGAATCTTGGCAGAGAATGACTGCTCTGTTTCATCTTTTCTATTAGGAAACAATCCTGGTACAGTGTGATCGTCCTGGCCATCCTTTGATTAATAAGACATATAATTTTGAAAGGTAAGTGCTCTTCAAGATGCAGTACAGATCCAAGATATACATTAAACATGCAGACTTTGCATGGGAGTTTATTAACCAAAGGCACCACTCATCCTACTGATTAATTGTGATTATAAATAACCCATATGTCAGTCTCTCAGGTAAATCCTCATTCTCACATATCCAGGTGGTTAATAGGGCTTTGTCATGGCAACAGCAATTAAAGATGGGTCTCAGGCCTCCCTTGAACCTGGTCTTGGTATTGTCCCAAGCAGCAGCTGGGAGGCCTGTGAGGTCGGAGAGTTAGAAGTAAGGTTTGGGAAGCAACACATCTTCCTTCCACCACCAAAGGATGGTGAAGGGACCCAGTGTGAGGCTCTGCCTGCTGTGCCCTACTGCAGAGCCTGAGGACTCTTCCTGTCCCCCAGTGACCACTGTGAGTTCATGGGCTATGCTGGAGATGAGCAGGGCCTCCTCGGGGTCTCCGGCTCAGTGCCAGTCAGCACCTGAATGAGGAGAATGCAAATGTAGCAGAAAGCAAGTGAAAACCCACAGAGCTCACACTGCCTGGAGCACATGAGGTTGGGGCCTTGTCTCAAGGAGGGCTGCCTGGCAGAGCTGGAGTATAAGCCTCCAGAGGATCCAGTGGCTCCCTGGTGCCACCCTGCATCCAAGTGCCTCTTAAATTTTATAGCAAGGTGCCACAGCTTCTGCCCTTTACTTGTGTTCATGAGAAAGCACGAACATTGGCTGGTGTTGGACACGTGTGTGTGTGTGTGTGTGTGTGTGTGTGTGTGTATGTAGGGTGGTGGTGCTTCCCCAGGCATCTGTGCATGGATGCAAATGGCTTCTTTCTTCCTTTAATGCGCTGCTTCACTTTGTCTCCCAGAGTCTATGGTCCAGCGGAACCTCAGACAGCAGTGTTTGCAGATGTGTGCCCACTACTCACATCCCTCTTAGATGGGTGAGTTAAAATATTTTTAAGGCCAGTTATTACAATTGCATTTAAGTAGTGTACACACAAACCTCATTCATGCTATAGAATAATACAGGACTGTCAGAGGCCGGGCATCATGTGACACAGCCATGAGCAGCGTCAGCTCTGTGTCCATCGGGGAAAACATCTGTGCCCCTGGAGAAGAATCAAAGTGCTTTGAGGAGTAGCTGTCATTTGGGTGCATGTGTCCTGGCTCCACGCTGAATTTCGTTGTGCATGGACTGCAGGCTGCCACAGCTGCTCCCTTTTTTTCTCTCTAGTGTTAGTTTTGCACTTCAGAGTTTTTAAAAAATCTGTTGAAAATGCCAGCATCAGATTGGGAAACTTCCTTCTGGGAAACAGCCTTCTATTTTTGGAAAACACAACTACCAATTTTAAAGGCAAGGGGCATAATTTAGAAGTAAATATCTTTAGCAGTAACTACAACTAGTTTTGTATACTGAACACCACAGCCAAGACTGTCTACTTTAGGGTATTTGGAAGAATCTCAGTTTTGCAAAGAAGTCTATATCAAACTTCCTGAACAAGACTTATTTGTGTTTGCCTAGCAAAGGCTTTCGCACAGCCCATCTCAAGAAAATAGAATCTATAATTACTACATTGTTATTTTACACCAGTGTGCTGTAAACCCGGGAGGCCTGTAATCTACAGGCTGAGGTCATGTCCTCCTCACGGCCCACACGTACACAGCCAGTCCTCCCGCTGTCAGTGACTACACCTCCTGCTTCACCTTGGCTTCTGCACCCACCCAAAATACTTCCTCTGCTGAAAATGACAAAGGTGTCGCAGAAGGCACTTGTTAAATGAGCAGGTTGCAGAAATGAAAGAGGCATTGTGGTTATAGTGAACTCTGCCAGTCTTGCTGTCCATCATAACCTAAAACAGATGGCATCATTAAGGTGCTGCTTATTACGGTGCTCAGCTTTCTTTGACCCATGTTCACAGGACATTTGAAGATCCATAAGAACCATGTATGGACCATCTGCTTCAGTGTGCCACTCAGTGGTAAAGTGCTTGGCTATTATGTACGAGGCCCTTAGTTCAGTCCCCAGCACTGCAAAACAACAACAACAATAATAAATAACTTTTGGCAGTCAAGGACTCCCAGGGGGAAATACTCATTTGGTGGAAGCTGGAAGAAATGTGAAATGTGTGAGAATTTTGACAATGCCTTGAGCCTTTTTGATTTTGGAAGAAAATTATGCAGAATGACAGTGACTCTGATCTGCTCCGCCCTGACGTGGTTCCAAGATCTCGGGTAGAATGTAACAATAAACCTCAGAGACAGGCTTCCAGGTGTCCTGCCTTTTATATCGCTGTTCTGGGTGAGAATCAGACATAGATCAATCCGAATATGTTCGTAAAACCATTCTATCAAAAGAATCACATTTGTTTGACCTGAGGCAAAACAGGAAAGTTTGAGTGAAGATTAATGAAATCATAACCTCTGTGCTGGGTGTAATGACACACATCTGTAATCCCACCACTCAGGATGCTGAGGCAGGAGGATCATCCTGTGGTCAAAGTCAGCCTGTGCTACATAGTGAGCTCAATACTAGCCTGAACTACATAGCATGACCCTGTCTCTATCAGTGAATCAGAACCTCTGAGGTGAGGAATGAGGGGTATGTGGATCATGGACATTCCCTAGGTAATTCTCACCTGGGTTGGGCCAGAGCAACCTGCATGATGTACCTGACAATTGTGGGCTGGGTTGGCCTTTAGGGTCAAGACAATCTTATGGTTGAGAATATAATTTTAGATTACAAACTAATTTCAAATATTCTTTCAACTGTTTCTAGTCTTCTCATTGGTATATCTTGTATTCTGTGAAATAAACTGTTGTCTGATAATCACAGATGTAGGACCAGTCAACCTTGTCACATGAGAATATGGAAACCCCATTGTCCTTTGGGTAGCAAGTATAAAAATTATATGGTTATCATCTAACTGTAACTATAGCCAGTAATGCTACCAATTGGCTGTGTATATAATGGGGAAAATTTTTGTTACATCAAAGGAAAGTATGAAAGTGTTTATATAAAACATTATATACAGCAGGCCCAATTTTATGAAGGTCAGCTTACATCAGGTGTCTCTAAGATTGCACTGAATGTTAATAAGAAGTGGGAATCTAGGAGAGACTCACTAGGTTATAACCCTGGTAAACCGAGGTGGCAAAGGGTGTAAGCAGCCATTCCAATGGAGAATGTCAAACAACACAAAGTAGGTACTGATGAGACACATGTTGTATGTGTGAAGCGAGTATAATTTTATCCAGTATGACATATAGCAAAATATCTATGCAGCAGATGGAGACTATAAACAATAATTATAGTGGAGTGAAAATCTAATCTACATGGAGTGGTCACAGGGGAACCTAGAATGAAGTGCACCAAGTAACAGTTTCTCCCAATATCGACTTAGGACTGTAGCCCCCGTCTGTGTTTTGCCACTCTGAGTCATGTGAATTTCAGGTACAACGTATGCATCATGGCCTAAGGGCAGATGGGAAGTGGGAAGAGCTACACCATGCTGGGACCAGAGCTGCCATCAGATGCCCACAGTGACTTGGGAATCATCCCCAGAGCAGTTGAGGAGCTCTTCAGGTAACTCTGATGGTGATGGCAGCCAAGTGCTGAACAGAAATGAGGGATAATGTGAGTCCTATAGAAAGCCACAACTGGACAAAGGGAGACACGTTCTCTTGTCAATGACATTTAACAATAGTCCTGGGCATTATTGCCACGAAAGCCACAAGTTCTCACCATAAATGTATGGTGGAAGTCTATTATTGGGATGAAACCCCAAGTTAATTCCCAGGGTGGAGGTTTTGTTCCAGAGCAGGAGCGAAGGGTGGAAAGGCCTGTTGTCTTTTCTTGCCACCCCACAAAGCAGTCTTATCTGCCCTTCTTGGCCCTTCCAGCAATTTTTTTTCCCCATAGAAGGTCTTCTGTCCCATTACACATCCCCCCAGAGAGACCCACTGCCTTTGTCTCAATTTCACTAACAAAGTGTTCCTAGAAAAAAAGAAAAAGCAGTAGAGGTTGGTAGGAGGGTCTGGAATGATACTGCATCTCCTGGCCCATTGCTTTGGCTCAGTCACTAGCCTCAGCCTTTTGGTGGTCATCTTCCTGTTCGCACACTGCTCTGAACAAGCCTGGGCTCAGACTGAGGTTAGACATTGCATATTCTCCACCAAACTATTGGCTGTCAGCAGCAGACCCACCTGCAGCCAGTGGTGTGGTGCTCCCACTCCTGAGATTCACCCAGAGATTGCTCCTACTCCACAGTTTCTCTCTGTTTCCTTGCATAGATGGCCCTTTCATGTCCTAAAACCAGCGCCAGAGCATGACATAAGAACTCTCCCCACAGCCTAAATTTTGGTGCCTCTTCAGGATAGTAGTATTTAAATATTTGTGCACATAAATAGATGTTCATCGATTTACACGTTATAGGCCTCATCTTGGGGTCTCAGCATCCCAAGACACTTCAATGCACGGCTGTGTCACAGAAGGGCTCAGCAGAGTCCTACTGGACCTTACAGGTTACTGGTGCCCAGGGAGTGTCCCCACCAGGCTTGGTCTGCTTGGCCAGGAGCTCACTGGCTGCAGATGAGAAAATGGCAAAACTGATGGTAGTGGCATCTTCTGGGAAGAGGGACGTGAGGAGGATAGTGTGGAGGTGGTTTCTGGGACCAAGGCCCCCCTCGGCCCTCACGGTAGTTAGATGGCTTTCACCTTGTGTTCCCCCACTTGCCTACCCACATATTTCTCCACCATTGTAAAGAACCTGCTTGGGGCAGCCTCTTAGCATCCGTGCTGATCGCGCCAACAGTGTCAGAACGTGAAGAAGAAAGCACAGGTGGCATAGATCGTCAGATGAGAAGAATCCTAAATAGACCTTTCTCAGGAGAACACATACAAATGACCAATAGACATAAAAAATCCTCAGCGTCGCTAATCGCCAGGGAAATGCAAATCAGTTCTACGGTGAGATCTTACCTAGTAAGAAAGGCTGCTACCTAAAAGACTAAAGATAAGTGCTGGCAGGGATGTGGAGAAACGGGAGCCCTTGCACACCCTTGGTGAGAGTGTAAATTAGTACAGCCATTCCGAAGCAGTGTGGAGATTCTTTAGAAAAATGAAAAATAGAACTGTCATATCATTTGGCAATCCCACTCCAGGGTGTAGAGCCAGAGGAAATGAGATCAATATGGGGAATCCACACATCTGCACTCCTGTGTTTATGCAGCGCTATTCTAAAGAGCCAAGAAATGGAGTCAACTTGTGTCGATCAACTGATTGGATAAAGCAATGTGGTACATAAACACCATCAAATACTATTCGGCTGTAGAAAAGAATGAAATCTGTCATCTGAGCCAACGTGGACGGAACCTGGGAAGATTATGATAAATGAAGTGTGCCAGGCAGAGAAAGACAAGTACCTTAAGACCTCACTCATACGCGGGATTTTAAAAATTGCTGTCACTAAGGGTAGAGTGGTGTTTGTCCAAGGCTGGGAGAGCATAATTGGGAAGAAAGGAAAGGGAGAGGATTCTCGGGGGATACTAAGTTACAGTAAAATGGCAAGAATATGTTCTGCTGGGCAACTACTGCACTGTAGTGTGAGTAGAGAGAGCGGTAACATTCTGCATATTTCTAAGGCTACAAAAAGGAGTGTGAATGCTCTTACCATAAAGAAATGATCAGGGTCTGAGGAAATAGATTCAATTACCTTGATGTGAACATCACGCAATGAATACATGTATTGAAACATCACATGGTGCCCCATAAATATGTAACATTTTTATATTTTTTAATGTATCAGTTAAATTCAATAGCTAAAAGTAATTGAGTAATAATTTTCCTTCAAGTTAAGCAAACTTTTAAGGCTCCAAGATAGGGAGTTTGGGAGACACAAAGATAGGGCTAGAATGTGGGAACCAGGAGGAGTAGTGGGAGTGCAGTGACCCACTCTGCTTGCTTCTCAGCCTCTGGCAACAGGGTTCTGCGGCACAATGCTCAACCTTGACCCAAGGGAGGTGTGACTGCAGCATTTCTCAGAGTCTTTTCTCATGTATCTCACTGTGGGTAGAGTGAGCTTATAGGACTGGCTCAGTCTGCAGTGGGATTTACACAATACAGAGCAGTTACGCAGAGTTTATGCACGGTAGGTCATGCTCTGATTCTAGAGCTTGTGCTCAGGACCAAAGGGTCCCGGGAGCCATGGAATGCAGGGAGTGCTGGGAAGAGATGCTGGTGGCATGGGATTCTGTGGTAGATGAGTCAGGAAAACATCTGGGCTGTCAGAGCCATGAAGAAATGGGATTCTCAGCTTCACTAAGCAGAGGATCCCATCATTGATAAGTATTTACATTACCCCACTTCCACAGAAGGTCCAAGTTATCCTTTAAATGATTTTAGTCACAGGGCATGCAGTGCTAGCATGCCATATCCTAGGTCTTCTGTAACAGCAGTGATTTGGAGTGCCAAAATTCACCAGGAAGAATTTGGAATCTTCTTCCAGCTGAGACCAAGGCCCAGCATCCCCCAGCCTCTCTTTCTTCATCTGCAAGAATGAGAAACAAAGTCCAAACATGCCGGCATTCCTCATTGCTAGAGACAGGCTCTGGGAAGAAATATGTTCAGCCAGATACGTGGGTGAGCTGGGTGTGCCCTAGTTAAAAAGTGAACAATCTGTCTTCCCCAAACATGAAACCACATCAGGCATGGATAGCAGAGAAGCCTTTATCCTAAAACACATTCCTTTTAGATGGCTGATATTACCAAATGTAGGCACTGATAATGAAGGCAACCGTGCCATTTTAAATAAAATAAAACCCCACCCTTGGGATTCTTTCCACTTCCCATCGTCTCTTGGCTGCTGACACTGTAAGAGATCAGGAGATTGATCCCCTATTATCCTTATCAACTAAAATGTACCATGTGTTTGTATGTAAGAGCACCGTCAGGCAGAAGTAACACAGAAATGCATGTGATAAACCTTTCATCCTTAAAATGTCTAGAAAGGAGATGGACCTGCCACTATGACCCACTGGGATATGTGTAGGAATCAATGGATGAGGCAAAAATGGCCAAGGAGAGACTGGAAGGAGGAGAAGTTACTACAGCCCTATGCCTTCTGCTGGAGCCTGGCCTGTATATCCTTGTGAGAGCCCAACACGGTTTTTATCACGCAGAAACCACACTTTGGCACTGTCCTGCACTCTCCCAATTTGGGAGGACAGGGAAATGTGAAATCTGTAGCTTAGCTGAGTTTCTTTTTCACTTTTCGGTCTTCTTGGAAGAGTCTCTGCAAAATGCAATGCCAACAACAACCCAGATTTTAACACTTACTTGAGAATTTCACTTGCTTTTTCTTTTAGGTTAGTCTGTTGTTTTTATATTGCTTATTATTTGAAAATACCAAGAGCCTATTTTATTCAAAACTTTCTCCAGATCTGGATAAAAACCTCAGCCTAGCAAAGCTTCAATAGGAAACATCCTGGCTAGACTTTTCCTCTAGTACAAATAATGTCCAGCCACTGGAGGGTCCTGGCCTGAGCTCAGAATATGAGCAAGAGCAGCACAGGTCCAGATGAGTTGATTTCACAGTGCAGGAGAGAGGAAGGCAACAATCTTTGCAGCTTCTCTGGCCTTTCCTCCTGCAGCAGCTCCCTAGGGTGGAGTTTTATCAAAGGGGCAGAGCAAGGAGCTGGATGGGAGGAAGGAAGCTATCTTCTAGTGGTCCCTTCTCCCTTGTGGGATTATGGTGTTTTCCCCTCTAAGTATATTGTGTCATTATTTTTAAATTTCTCTACAGCAGTTTCAAAACATGAAACAGAATAAAACATGGTTTTTTTGAGAACCTGCAAAGGGTTTTTGGAGGTCACAGGAAGGTCTTGCTTGGGAGACACAAGTAGCACTGGTGTAAAGAAAGGACTTGGTCTTCATTAACACAGGACATACAGCAACAAAACTCACTCCTGGCAGGTGCTGCAGGTCCTAGGGTCCTGGCATCTTGGTGTGGGCTGTGTTCTAGCAAGACTTGGGTGTGTGGCTCCTGGTCCAGGCTGTGACCTCTGCCACTGCCACACTCAGCTGAAGCAGAGGCAGCTGATCTGAACACAACTCCAGTCAAGTAACTTTGTTCAGAGACCAACTTTAAAAAAATTTCAGGACATAAACAGAATTAAGATATGTCATGTACAGGTACCCATTCCCCATGATGAATGGAATCATTGTGGACTTCTGGGAGCACTGCGTTGTAGATCGCTATGGCCATTCCTAACTCACTTCTTCCCATGGAAGAGGCAGGGCTCCTCAGCAAGAGGCCATGGTGGAGCAAGGCCTGGCCAAGAAGAGGACTGTCCTCCTTCCCTCATGCAATTCACCAGAGAAACATCAGTATTATCTCCTGCAGACCCTAGCGCTCTCCCTGTTCCAATCATCCAGCCCCTTTTACCTGCCCCTGCACTTGCCTTACCTCTACCACTATAAATAAACACGTGGCCATTTGCTTGGTGGTCTTTTCCTCCCATCAGGAGTTAGAGCCCCACCTGGCCCCTCCTACACCTTACATGTCTTGGTCTGTCTTTCTTAATCTTTCACTGTCGTTTCTCATTCAATGAACCCTTCTGCCACTCCAGCATGGCAGTGGACTGTAATAAAAATCTCTTTTAAAAAACTAAACCTTAGTATGAAAAGTAAAAGGAACTTAAATAGTACTCCCTTACTTGTGGGTGACCTCAATGCTAGTAGATTCACCTACACTGGTCGACTACAAGAGTTTTACTCAGTATCCCCAGGGCTGTGTCATCTGGATTTGGAAGACTTTTTGAAGGTCTTTCTGAAGGCTCATTGGACTTCTCTAATGGTTAAGTTCCTGTGTGTGTTTCCCCAGGCTTATTTCAGAAAATCCATCAGGAAGCCCAAATGTGGATGTTTCCATAGTGGAAGTTTATAACAATGACATATTTGACCTCCTGGCCAAACACAATTCTACAGTGTTGTCTGGGGTCAAGGGTGAGGTGGTGACAACCCAGGATGGATGGACAGAGGTCCCCCTGCTGACCCACAGGTGAGTGGGCAAGGGACCGACCACCTGCGGTTCTGAGGCAAGGGCTTAGCCCAGTGTCTTCCTGGGAAGAGTGCTGCTGGGTCAGGGCTACTGAGCCATAGAACTGTGGATTGTGAGTTTTTAGGGCTTAGTATGTGTTGCATAATTGTCAACTTATTTTAAGAATTATATTTTTTAATGGTAACTATGTAGGGGCGATAGGCATGTTAATTATCTGGAATGTGATAATTTCCCAATGTATATGTTAATCATAAACTTACACAGTTTTTATATCAATGATATCTTAATAAACTGTTCAAAAAAAGCTGGAGCTGGAGCTCAGCGGTAGAGCACTTGCTTAGCATGTATGAGATCCTGGGTTTCATCTCTAATAGAGAGAGAGAGAGAGAGAGAGAGAGAGAGCTGATTGGCACCCAGAGTTTTTACCTCTCTGGTGTGCCTGGAGTTGAACTGTGTATGCTGAGATTCCGGGACAGCAAGGGAAGGGCCTGCAAGCTATTTTAAATGTTTCAAAAACTCAATGGAAACTGTCTTAGTCACTTCCCTTGTCACCATGACAAAATACCCAACATTCAAAACTTAAAGGAGAAGAGGGTTTTTTTTGGCTCCCATTTAGAAGAATCAGTCCTTGCATAGTCAGCAGCTTGAGGGAAGGGCATGGCAGAAGCATGGTGCTCGCCTCATGGTAGCCTGGAGGCAGAGAGTGAAGGTGAGGAGGTAGGGAGGGAGGCCCCATTTCCTGACACCGGGGCCAGCTGTAGCAGCCCCACAATCCAATCACCATCCACAAGCACCACCTCTGAGCACAAGAGGCTTTGCAGGGGTAGGAGGATCTAGATATAAACCATAACAGAAACCGTACATTTGGTTGTGATATTTCTACAGAAAGTAACTAGAACTTGGAGCTTGGACAGGAGACCATGATGAGCATGGCTTTTGCTGATTAAATCTGACCAGCAGCCCATCTCATCAATGGAAAGGGGAAACTGGCTTAAACTTTCATTTCACAAATTTGATTTTTTTTTTTTTTTTTTATCATGGA